CCTAAAATGATCACAATGTCTGGCCAAGGATCAGACGATGAATTTCTCATTATGTGTTTTTTTGTTTGTTTTTTTGCAGAAGCTGGTAATTGAGCAGTTGAAAGTCCGATTTGGGTAAATACATCTTCCAGAGCCATCAGCAAATTTCTGCTCTGATTAAAGGAAGGGAGGAAAGAATCCTCACACATTTATTCCCCATAGAGCTGGGTATCTTGAAGAGGTCAAGACAAAAACAATTCTATTAAATGTACCAGTAAGTGTCTCACTCATTTCCGAAGCAGAATTGTTGGCACCGGAGCCTCCCTCTGTGGTACAAGTCCAATGGGGCTCTAATTGTCCGCTAAGTGGACAGAACGTTCTAGAAAAGTATTCTCTGGCCCTAGCTAGTTTGGCTCAGTGGATAGAGCAGCCGTGGGCAAACTATGGCCCGCGGGCTGGATCCGGCCCGTTTGAAATGAATAAAACTAAAAATAAAAAAAGGCTGTACCCTTTTATGTAATGATGTTTACTTTGAATTTATATTAGTTCACACAAACACTCCATCCAGGCTTTTGTTCCGGCCCTCCGGTCCAGTTTAAGAACCCAGTGTGGCCCTCGAGTCAAAAAGTTTGCCCACCCCTAGGATAGAGTGTCAGTCTGCAGATGAAGGGTCCCAGGTTCGATACCAGTCAAGGGCACATGCCCAGGTTTCAGGCTCGATCCCCAGTAGGAGGTGTGCAGGAGGCAGCCGGTCAATCAATGATTCTCTCTCATCGTTGATGTTTCTCTCGCTCCCTCTCCCTTCCTCTCTGAAATCAATAAAAGAAATACACACACACACTCACTCACACACTCCCTCACGTCAACCATCAATGGATCACCAGAATAAAAGTTCAAATGCAAACCCAGCAACTACCCGTTCCAGGTTTGGCCCGTTCTGTTCAAAAATAAAAAATCTGTTGCACCATGAAAATAAATGTGCAACCGAAATACGCGTGAAAACCACCACCAGAAAGAAATCCCCGAAACAACGACTAATTTTCTGTCTAATTGTAAATCCCCAAAATGAAGAGTCAGGTGACATGTAGAGAAGGGAGTCTCCCTCCACTGTTTTTTCTAGGATCCGATCCATGTAGGCACAGAGGGGAAATATTGGCAAAGGCCCTTGAACAACCAGGAGGCAGATGTTCGACCAGGAAACGGTTTATTTTAATAAAGCTATTCTACGCGGCGCCCCAAATCGGGAGTGGCAACGAGGCTGGGGCAAGTCTGAGCTATCACCACCTGTTAGCCCTGAAAAATCAATTAAAGTCACACTTCCATCCCGAGTCCCTTTCTAGCCAATGAAAGTAGCTTCGCCCTGAGACTTGAGTGGCTGCGGAGA